GAAAGATAATGCATGTAGCATGTCACTTAGCATATAGTAAGTGCTTAACAAATAATTGCTCTCAAATGGGGAATTCAAAGTGGATTTAATTTTATAGGTTCATGGGTTACCAAAGCTGGAAGGAAACCTTGAATGGTAAGTCCCTCAAAGTAGATGCTCAGGAAATATCTTCCCATCTCAGTTTCTAAAAGGCTAGGGAAGGACTGTGATTGGTTCATTTTGAATCAGATGACCACACTTTGGACCAATCATTGTGTCAGAAAGTTGAAGTGCTATGGTTTGGCTCAGACTTGCTCTTGTGCCTGCACCTGCAACAGGTAGGACAGCAGTACAAACTGGCCAAGGAGCACTTCACTGCAAGTTCAGCAGCCATTCAATGGGCCTTTCCTATAAGCACCCACATGTGGCAGACAACGGTGAAAATGGCAGGTGGGTCTCTGCCCTCATAGAGCTTAGTGGTCTCTGGGGAGCTCGCCAAACTTTGACACACAGCATAGCTGAAAAAATGTCTAAAATATGTATCCTGGAGCTCACTTCATATCACCCACCATGTTCCGGGAGGCTGAGCTTCTTGGTTAGTGTTTTGATTCTTTTGAGCCCATATAGCACTGTCGTCCCTCACTTAGCGTTGGGGAGATGTTCTGAGAAATGCATGCTTAGGTGATTTAGTCATGGAGCAAATATTACAGAGTGCACTTATACAAACCTAGATGGTATAGCCAATTGCTCTTAGGCTACAAACCTGTACAGCATGTTCCTGTACTGAATAATACTGTAGGCAATTGTAATGCAGTGGTGAGTATTTGTGCATCTAAGCATATTTGAGTACATAAAAAGTACAGTAAAAATACAGCATCATCTTATGGGTCCAGCTTGTATTAATATGTGTGGTCTGTTGTTGACTGAAACATCGTTATGCGGTGGTGTGTGACTGTATATACAATGCAATGATTTACAGTAGTGGTGGGAGAGTATTATGGTGTAAGGGACTGTGCTTTTGATGATCTGTTTTTTCTTTCTTGCTGTCTCTCTCCTTCCTCTTCCACCATGTAAAACCTAATTCTCTGCCTTATGCTATTTCTCTCTCTCTCTCTCTCTCTCTCTCTCTCTCTCCCTTAAAACACTCTACAACTTTCCCCAATTATACCTGCCCTGCTGATTGCCACTCACTGGTTCTTGGTGACCTGGCATCTTTGGTTTACTCATAGTTGTGCTCTTAGTGCATTTAAAATCTAATTCAACTTTTAAAGATCCCTGTACATTGAACTCTTCCAAAACCCCTAAGACCTCGCCAACAATCGCCGCGCTCGCCTCAGCAGATTGCGTAGGATTACCAGGCGTGAGCCACCACCCCCTGGCCTGGATGTTGAAAGAAAATACAAATTTCCTGGGTCCCACTGTTAGCTTATGGACACAAATCTCTGGGAGGGGAGTGTTTGGTAAAGATTATTCCAACAAAATTCTTATTGGAATCTTGTTGGAATCGGGATCCAATGAACAGGCAGATTGGGCAATCACTTGTCACTGTTGAATTTATTACACTTGTAATTTTAAGTTTGGACGTTATAGGAAAGAATGTCGCTACAGATCCCGAGCTTGATGGACATAAGCCTGTTTCCAAACAACATATAGGTTGTTCGCTATGTATTCTACTGAAGACAATGAACAAGTGCTAAACGGAGTATCAATACCCGTGATGGGGTTCCCATAACCAACCAGCAGGTGGAGCAAGAGGCCAGGCCATCTTCTAGACCCAAACCTGCGTTCTCATTCTAAGACCCAGCTCCCAGGGTGGGGTTGGGGTATTTACATGTTAACACATTGTTTTTATGAATAATCCTACAAATTTATGAAATGATTTCTGTGTGTAGCACATTGAAAACCCTTTTGGAGATCAAAATGGAATCATTAAATGGGTTTCCCTAGAAGAAGAAGGATGTTCCTTCCTCCAGGAATCTAATCTATTATTTTTGAAGAGTATTTGGTATTTGAAATGTTATTGTTTTT